ATCAGGGGAAAGTACTGTTCCGGCAAACGGCAAATGACGCACCGCTCTCTTTTCGACAAATTTGAGGGACCGCTTCCTCTTCAGCAAGGGCCGGGCGGACAAAAAGTAAAATCTGATAGATGATTTTTGAGGTCCTGGCCATTGGCATTGCATGCAGAATGACTGGATACAATAGTGGGGAGACGAGGCTGCATTGCAAGTCGCACGCTCTGGTTCATATGCAGATTCAGAATCCTTGCTGACTTATGGCCTCTAGTCGACCATTGCTGGATGTGCCAGCCAGCAAGCAACTAGCCGCCAGCGGTGCATTGCCCTTTTGCCCGGCACTGGGGGACACCAATTCACGTCCAATGCCCCCCGAGCATAGCAATGGGCGAGCCGCCGTTGGTGGTGGAAAGTCGATTGACGCCTCGCCTCGGGCTAGTACACGCCAATGTCTTGAAAGGTTGATAATAGCCGGGGTGACGATGTGCGTCAAGGCTATCGCTACATGTCCAGTTCAACTCACCTAGCCACGCCCCTCCACGTTGCGGGCGTGGCCGTGTCTAATGGTAAATAGGCCACCGGGCCAGTGCAACATGGATGGAATTGGTACGTTGCACATGCGCCAAGGTGGGAATCTCGCGTGGCTGCCCTGCTCTGTGAGGTTCCGAACAAGAACTCGGCCGTGGGGCGCGGCCAACGCATTCTCATTTTGCGCACAATTCAGCGCGTCATGACACAGGCATCCGACATTTGGCATTACAGTGCGTCGGGGCTCGAACGCCGCAGGCACCGCCAAAAACGCGGTGCGGTAGGACAAGGTCCTGAGCTGGCTCCCACAAGGTCTGCGGCTAGATCCTTATTGTCCTTGCCTCGCCTCGCCTTGCTGCACATGCCTGGTTCCTGTCTTATTCATACATACTACTTGCGAATACCCAGGTGTTCGGGCCCTAGCCTTTCCTGCCTCACTGGTATGTATGGCTCACGCCGTACTTCAGACTTATGGCGCGATTGGCCCCGGTCACGGCGTATCGCAGCTTCTTCACTGTGCGACACGTGCACAAGATTTTTGTTGTCTCCTTTCTCACGTCTGCGTCCGCGGTCCGTCTGCTGCATGCAAACTCATGGCTCCAATAGTCATAGGTGGATAGGATATTGGGCTGTATGTACAGACTTGCGCCGACTAGGAAGGTAACGCTTCGTCGGGTCGGGTCGCCCACGCATGTACAATGTATTGCCACACAGCCGCAGTACCAGAGTCAAGAGTCATGAGCAGCAACAGCACGAGGCTTCATGTATCTTTACAATCAAAGGTGAGCAAACCTAGCCCTTGCCAACGCCACAGGGCACGGTTGGTCAGAGACAATGCCGGGGCACCGGGATGTCAAAGAGCTTCATCCAAAAACGGCAACGTCACTCATTCATCTCAAGTTGCATGCAGCCTATCAGCGGAGGGGGGCGCTAATGGATCACTGATGCCCTCGGCGAACTGATGGCGGCGCTGTGATTATGATCAATGCTTCTACGATAGCCAGAGTATGAACAGGCTGATATATCCCCAATGCCAACCGCAGCTCCAGTCCCAGCCATAGGAACTGCATGGCGCATGGCGATTGATGGTGTCACAAAAACCAATATCAATATTTGCCCTTGGCTGGTCTCAACCCCAGCTCACCGGACGCATTGATAGTTTGGAACTACGTGATATATCAGCAAAAAGACGCGCGAGGGAGCTCTGAGTTGTTGTTGCTAGGAAACGCCCTACCGCCCCAATTTGCTATCCATGGGTAGGAGGGGGAGTGCAGGTACGTCTCACGTCATCGAACTGCTTCGAATTCCTTGGAGTGTGCTGTGCTCCAGATTTCTCATGAGACTTGGAGCAACTTGGGACACTACCAAGCCAGGCGGGACACTGGGGCGCAAGAAGGAGACAGAATGTATCCCCCAGCTGGGGTGGCATCGGTTGAAATGACCAGCCGCAGGTATAACCACTGACGTACCCTTTGACACATTTGACTTGAAGATGCAGCCCGAATGTAAAAGAGCGCATGTACAGAGTACCCAGGTGTCACCACCATTGTCAGTCAGTACTATGGCACTGCGATTGGGTTCGGTAGCCGACGTACGGGCCGCGTCGTTCGAAGCGGTGCATTCGGACATGATTTCTGCAATCCATTTAGGCCTCCATCCGAGGTTAATGTGATTGGTAGTGGCGTTTGTATCTGCCAGGATATGGTTTGGGAGAGCGCCTGAGACGCCATCTCGGCTGGACCGAGCCATGACAACCACGAGGAATGGACGCGACTGCCCGGCTGCTGAGTCTGCTGAGCATCCATTAGGAAATTCCCGCCAGATCAGACTTCTCGCCGACATGTGATGTGCTGTCAATGCGGAAACAAAAGCAAGGCTGGCTTTAAGTGCTGTTGTTGGGGCACAAGTTAGGGTTCCAGGTGGAAGCGTTGCGAATCAGATCAACAAGATCCTACGAATCACGATCTCGGACAAGGGTGCTGACTGCGTTCGGGGGCGCCTGCTCTCCAATCGCAAGTCTTTGCTCAGTAAGGATCACCCCTTCGCCCAGAATTTCTCTGTACACAACGTATTGAACGCGCCCGCACTTGTGAGCGACATCGTTTCCAATTCCGAATGACTCGCGAAACATGCACAACATTTCTTGGATTATGGGTGTGGTTGGGGTTCCTGGTGGCAAATCTAAAGCATCTCCTTGACGCCGTCAAGGGCCTCTCCCCGAATATGATCCATGGACAGCTAGGCGGCACATGAAGCGCCACCAGTCCTTTATCCATCTAACCGGCACTAAGAATCTGCTCGCAAGCCAGTATGAACGTGTGATAGCGCAAAACGTCAAGAGCTCATCGGTGCCTGAGTCAGGGGGCTTGTCGGGGGTCCCTCCGTCGGACAACTTTTGCTCCGCCCGTCTGCATGCCCTGAGCGCCGCCGGGCATCGACGTCAACCGGTGCTTCGGCTTGGCCCGCTTCCTGTCCGTGGCCCGACAGTCGCCGGCAGTTTGTTCATCTCAACTGTGCAGAGGCGTACAAGGGGCCATGCGCTTTGCTATGGAGGAGCCGAGGATGCTTGCTATCTGTCCATCCCTGTGCAAAGGCAATTGAGTTTAATACCAGCCACTGCGCAAAGGGGAAGTATGAAATTCGACATCAAAAATGGTTAGTGCTGCGCCATCCACCAAAGGCCAAGGTGGGACGTCATTTCCCCTGATGGGCTTACCGGCTAAACTGGTGACCCGACAACCGTGCCCAGGGAGATCTGGGAGGGGAATAATTTAGTCGGACATTATAGCTTAGACAGGGCTAAATTTTCCGGTTATTATCTGCCAGGACATATGTATGTACATACAAACTGAACCGGGACTCGACGCACGTTCCTTCGACCATATAAAACAATCTACGACCATATAACGCCTGTTGATAGTGGCTTGGCTAGCAGTTGAAAATGGCGTCTGCCTTGCCCCTAGCATTGAGTTGACCTGCGGGCTGGCGTTTCACTTGGTCTATTATTATATTGACGGAAATTCAGTTTATGCACTGTGTGAGCGGCTTGGCTCACATTCAACGAGGGAGTTCGAGTGCTGGAGGCCATATGAACAATATGATCTTTTAGTCTTGGAGGGAGGATTCTGTCTCGGTTTGTGTATCGCTCGAATTTAAATCTCATGCGAGTTCCTGCACTCTACAGTTTTTACCAAACGTTTCTTCGGCCGTATAGGCTTTGCATGATGTGGGCGCACGTATAGTCCATGACAGAATGTATTTGCCTATAATAGCAAGTGCATATAAATATATAGCATGTAGTTGTCTATTTCTATACACGCCGTTCCCTAAAAGAGTTATAGAAGTTTTAGACATCTAGGCTAGTATATGCCAGAGCGAACGTATATAAATAAATAAATAAATACATCTTTACGTGCTGTATGATTTAGTCACTGCATGATTACTCGTTCCACACATGTTCTCTATGCATTGGGCATAAACCCGTTCACATAGTAAATTTATATGTGATCCGAGTCCGGGGTGGGAGAGGTTTCCCCTTATATTCCCGGACTGGCTGCGGCTCAACTCGATAGCCGGAGCAGTTGTGCTTGAGATGTCTCAAACCAACCTTGTAGAAGTCAACACAGCACAGGGTAGTACGGCGTGGTGTATTTTGCGTGACTTGCATATCCAATGCACAGACACGCTCTACCGGTGTCGGAATATCTAGTCGTCCGGCGCCTGTCTATCGTGTTGGTTTTTACAAGTCGGCGTGCATGCCGGCGGAGCAATGTTGGCCGTATTCACGTTCGATTGGGGTCGGTGCCTCGACTGTTCCGGCCAAGATGCGGCGGTTTACTCAACAAGACTGGACAAACTGGAAATATCGCGCTTTCGCTAATGCTTGATCGGGTGTCTTTTCTGATCCCTGGCTCGTGTAAGACCTGTATGTTTCCGTTGACATTTACGAACAGGTACTGGTGGTGTTGCGATGGTGGTTCACTAGTTGGTCTGGGGAGCGTACATAGCTGAGCTGCCGTGAATGTGCTCGGTCCTGTATGCCTCGTGTTCTTTGCAAAAGCCGCTTGTCTACAGTTATTGTTCATATGTCGACATGGCGTTCTGGCTTCTTGTCCCACTAGCCATGAAAATCTGCGCTTCCTCACAATAAAGATGCCAATTTCACAAGTACAATAGTAGGAGAAAAGAAGGAAATATTTGTCCAAGTGACCCTATAGTGTGCCGCGCAGTACACTTGCTGATGTGATGGTGCGCTGGAGTAGATCTGACGACGGTTGAGAGTAAAACACCAGTCCAGGCCCCTGGTGCCTTCTGAGCAGTGCATCCTGATCGGTGTATGCTGACCAGCACACGACGATAGTCTTTCAAACGCGGACCCACGACGGTTGTCAAGCATGACCGTTGAGCCAGGAAAAGAAGAAAAAGAGAGGCAGCAATAGCGGCCCTTGGCCGAATGCCCCCGATATCCAGGTTACATGTGTGCCTTCTTAGCTCCGCCTCGCCGCGCTCTGTGTCCGTTCCGAGGTGATTCGAGTAGCACGAAGGTTGTAGAAGACGCGGTCGATTTGAACGAAACCAAGTAGAACGAAGAGAATCTCCTCCAGGAGGCATCCTGGGTTCGACGCAGCAAACATCAGCCTATGCGTCGCCACCAGGTAATACGCAAGGGTGAGCGCCGCAAACAACCGCTCGGCCCCTTGGTAGCGATGTGGTATTCTGCACTTCTGTCTCAATTCGGCAGAGTGGTGCAACAGGAGCATATGCTTGGATATGCGGTCTGTCAACTCGTGTCTCGACCAGTCCGTTGGGTCCCAGTCCTGGTATTGGAAGCGTCCCTCGCCCTGGCATTCGGTTAGAACCCGTCTCTTGTGCGGCCACGGACAAGGGCATACTGACGTCGATGTGGTAGACTCTGTAATGCCCCTCGCGAATCGGGTTGCGGCGACGCTCCGCCATCTTGTACCAGGCGAATGCGACCTTTTCGAGAAGACATAGGCCCAGAGAGTTGGTGTGCCCGTCTGCTAGGACATGTCGGGGGAGACGCCGTTGGATTTCTTCCGGCGACAGCTTCATGTTGGAGGCTCAAGTAGGCGATGGTAAGCCGGGGTTGGTTGAGGTTGCAGCATGTCTCGCACTTGAGCTTTTGTAGACGAGAGAGACGGGCATTTCGAGTTCAGGACAAAGTCTGTGTTCGCAATCAATGGTGAGATATTCTGCTTACGTAGTTTGGCTGCCATTGAATGCGTGCGAATACACACGCATGAAAGGGGTGTGTTCAACCGGTGTGTGGTGGCTTTAGCCTTGTTGGACGGCATTTCTAAACACGTATGGAGTAGTTCAAATATATTACTTGGGGAAATGCGGGGTTTGCTTCTTGATTTGTTCATGCTTTGAAGCAACACCCAGGTAGACGTCTTGTTCGCACTGCGCTCCGTGACGAACTTCGCCACCGGTCTGAAACGCTTCCAACTATCACATGCAGTTGGAAGTCCTTGGGAACACCACTTGAACATACACTTTTATGCAAGAAGCCATTTTATGCCATTCATTTACTATGCTAACTTACCATGATGCGCTCAACATGACTTTTGCGCAGAGAATGCCCCAGAGCAACCTACGTCGAGAAGTCCCTACTTTCGGACAACTCCTCGCTTTATACAGCCTTGCGCACCGCTCTCTTGCCCACTTCCTACTTAAACTCAAGTATCTTCAGCCTCCGCAAGCAGCATATTCACTTTGACGTCGAATATTTACCGCCAACGCTGTGATATCTCCTCGCTGCGGTGGATGTACTTTACCTGCAGGACAAGTTGTGGCGACGACGAGTGATAGGAATCTTGACTCCTTCACAGTAGACCCCGCGAATATGGGAAATCGGGCGCCGGCTCCGGCCCAAGTCAATCGCCCATCATTCGCAGTTGTGCTTCTGATGCGCTGCATGCCTTTCACGTCGTCGCCGGAGCTGTGACCAGGCTGGCCGTGGTAGCCAGAGCCTGACGAGTACGCGTTTCCCGCCTGGTCAACCGAGACGGTGCCATCAGAGCTACACGCAACATAAGCGGCTCGTTGAATAGTAGGGATCGAGGTAGGACGGAAGCAAATGCGTGGCCTGTTACGTTTGTCGCGGCGAAAAGAGTAGGGTTCAAGCTAGGTGGTCTAATTAGGGTTAGGGTTATATGTTTCTCGGAGCTACCCACAACTTGTAAACTTATTGTTGCTAATCGCTATCTTAGCATGGATCAACCTCGAGTCACAAAAGCGCAGAAATGAAGGTATTTCCGTTGAAGCTATAAGAGTTTGTCTCATCTAGCCATGTGGCAAGTAGTTCCTTGTCAAAGTTGTCCAAAACTACCTGCGTATACTTGACGCTGTTTCCAGAAACATCTCCCTCAAGCTACCCTAGCATCGAACTGTTTGACATAATTCTTCCTAAATTTCATCTAAATACCATTTTACTCCCACAAGAGCAGCACTGATTATTTTGACAAACACATGGATTCCATCAGCAGTCTTCAAAGTCGACCTTATAGCCAGGTGAGATCTCAGGGGTAATTATAGTTCTCGGCACTTCTCTGCAAAAACCGTCATCAGTATCCAACCTGGCAAATCAGATACTACAACCCCAAAAGCAACAGCCAACAAATTCAACCGCAAACTATGTACGCTGACAAACAACTCATCGACTTTCCCCAGTCAACAGCTCCACCACAGGACCGGTATAGTCCGCCTCCAGCCCCAAGCTCATCAACCCCCCAATCTTGCTAGCCAGCGACTTGTTGCCCTCCACAGCAGCGAATATCTTGTCCTTCACATCAAATTCTATCTGGAAATCAAGTAGCCAGCTTTTCAAACGGGCCGATCTATCCAACACGCTGAGTTGTGGCTCAGGACCCAGCGTGATCTGCACATCTACCTTGTGGTTCGAGTCTTGGGCAGGAATTTCTACAACGAGACCTGGCGTGTCAGGCATATCCTCCACGTGAATTTTGCAAGTAGTGACTACACCAGCCACGTGCACTTTCAGCGCGGGCGGAATGCTCATGAGAGAGAGAAATTTGAATTTCCACGTCTTTGTAGATTCGGATACGGTCAGACGTCCCGTGGATTGTTTGTAATCGAGTTTGATTTTGCGGTACTCTATAGAATCGCCATTTTCTCGGCTCGGCTCGGCATCAGCATCGTCGTGTGGATTCTCCAGGATGGTGAAGCCGCCGTCTTTCCCAACAACAATAATTACTTCGAGAGAAGTCGGATTCATACACCCGTTCTGTGGGAACAGATCTGCCTCAAGGGGGATAATTGATCCCTCTGGCGCGAGAACGGGGATCGTCTCGATCGAACGGTACATTAGAATTTCCCGGTCGCCGTCGTAGATTGCCCCCGTGAATATGTCTACATGCCGGTCTGGCGGGACCCAAACGTTCGCGCTGGCAAGGTTGGTGGCTGGATTTCTCGAATGAACAATCGGCGCGACAACCAAGTGCGGCCCGAAGAAATACTCGTTGGGCTTCTCGTATGCTTCACTACGAGCTGGATACTCCCAGTACAACGGTCGAACTAGAGGTTCAGCGCCGCCGAGGAGATTTGTCGTCTGTAGGTAGGGAACCATTCTGTGTCGGAACTGCATAAAGTGTTCCATTGCGTAGCAATGTTCTGCGCGGAAATTCCACGGCTCCTTGGACGTCCACTGGCTGTTGGAAGAGTGTAGCCGGAATATTGGTGAGAACACACCATATTGAACCCATCGAGTGGCCATCTCATCGTCTCGAATACCACCCATGTGGCCGCCGATATCATGACTCCACCATCCGTAGCCAACATTAGAAGCGGTAGCTGTGAATTCGGGCTGGAACCGGAGCGATTCCCATGTTCGAATGGAATCTCCCGAAAAGCCGACCGGATATCGATGGCTACCTGGCCCTGCATATCGAGAGAATATGATGCCCTTTCCTTCGCCATTTTGGTTGACATGGTCCTGGAAATGGAAATAATTCAATAACCAGAGCGGATCGAGGCCGGGAATTCGGGAGATGGGGCCTTGCTGCCAGTCGATCCACCAGAAATCGCAGGCTTCCTTCTCAATACTACGATGGAGAACACTCAGGAAGGCGTCCATGAATTTCGGATCAGTAGGATTGAACAAAATCGGAGCCTTTTTGGATGTATCGTGTCCAATGGCCTTGGCCATGGTCTCGTACAAGTCCTCGTGGTGGTGAATACCGCCGTGAGGATGATCATTCAACGTGATTTTCAAACCACGATCATGGAGGGCTTTTCCAAACCCAGAAGGATCAGGGAAGAGTTCTTTGTTCCAGCTATACCCTGTCCAGCCAGCGTGCGGGATATGATCACCTTTGACTTGATGCCAGTCCATGTCCACAACGGCAACAGACAGAGGGACACGGCGCTTCGCAAACGTATCCATGAGTTGAATATACTCATCTGCCGAATACGGATGATATCTACTCCACCAATTTCCTAATGCCCACCGTGGCAGAGCAGGTTGGCGGCCGGAAATATCATAAAACGCCTTCATAGCACCTTTGTAATCGTGTCCGTAGACAAACATGTATCCATCGATACGATCACCGCTTTTTCTAGGTGCGATAAAACCTTGCCCGTCAAAGAGCATGGTGTTGCTATCGTCAAGCGTGGCAAACCCTGAACGCGATAAAATACCGTCGCCCATGTCACAACGCCCATCGACTTCATCGAGTGTTCTGGCCGTACCGCCCAGGTTATCCTTTGCCGTCTCTCCATAGTGCCAGTCGGCCCCCCAGAGCGTAACTTTACTTGGGAATCCAATGGTGAAGCCGCTTCGACTGAACCGTCTCTTGTCATATGTGATGTGAAAGTTGTGAGCAACCACCTCGACGTGCTTCTCGGTGTCGTTGACGGTGAACTCTGGCGGGGTAAAGTTGCGGTTGATAGCAAAAGCCGAGGCACGGTCTTCAAAGACGCCATCTTCCGCCCATTCATATCGTAAAACTGTTTCGCCAAGGAGTGTGAAGCGGTATGTAGGGCCCGATATCACCGCCGCCGGATTTGCAAGGGGGTCGCAAGGAAATGCATATTTATCCATGGAGGTCGCAATTGGTGGTTGCAAGAAACTGGGAAGGTTACCGCCGCCAGCTTCGAGGCTTTAAAAAAAAAAGACTGGTATGATGACAAGAGGATTGCCGAAAATTAGCTGCTGTTTCAAATCGAATCCGTCGTTTTCTGTTGCAAAGGAGGAATGTAATGTGTATGCTCCATGTGGCATGCTGAGCTTTCATGAACAACCAGCCTCCTTGGAGCTTCGCACTTGAAGTGGCGCTTGGAGTCAAGTAGCACCAGGAGCTATTGTGGGGGTCCTCGACCCCTCAAGTTGGCACCTAGGAGAATCCGGGAGATTCTGGGAACAAGAGCCGTCGTCAGCCTGTTAAGATTTGTTGAACTTGGTTGGGCGGTTGGATGCTGCCGGTGGCTGTAGATCTCCACTTTGCCAATGATGATGTGCAGGCACAATGGCCATGGTTGGCTTTCATGTGCCTTTGTGTGCCTTCGGGTACCTTGATGTGGCTTCGTGTGGCCATTTCGGGAGCCATCCTATGTGGTCCAGTCCATCCAGCCTTCGACCAGCCAAGCCAGATGGCCCTGGAACCACGGTTCCTCCAAAGTGAGGTTGTCCAGTGCCGTCTCATCACAAATGGTGGTTGAACCATCCGCTACTGAATTGGGACAATCTTCAAGGTATCTGCCTCTGTTTCCAAGTGGCTATCCGCTTCGCGAACTGCATTCCCGCCTTGCCCTGCAGCCTCATTACCCGGGAACCGCATGCTTAGATATGGCCATGGCCGCTTTGCCAGTTCCGAGTTAGACATGCGAATTTGCAAGTTATCGAGAAACCTCGACTTGAGGCCCCCAATATCCAATAGGACGTTTTTTAATCCGTGTAGAATATCGCCTATTCCTGCACACATACCACCTTCTTTGGTTGAGCCAGGTGAACAAGCCAGAATATCTAGCAACGCATCGGCCATTCTGAATACTTTGAGCTCCTAGGTCCACCAAGTAAGTAGTCGAATCACATC